ATATTTATAATAATATAGTTGCAGTAACTGCTGAAGTATAGATAAATTTCCAAAATGGGTGTGTTTTTACACAGATTAGCTTTCTAAGGAATAATATTCAGAATGGCTTAAATAAAAGGAAAGTAATCGAATAGTCAAAATAATTTCATTTTCTTTGCCAATACATTATACAGTACGGAGGTTGGGAGTTTCTCCACAAGATCTCTAATATTGAAGCAGCGGACTTTTTTTGTCACTGTCCAATCTGGATTGAATAGGACTAAAAGTTTTTGTGGTCTACCCAACTCAAATGAAGATTGATTCTATTCCGGAAATTTAATAGTCTGTTGAAAATTAAAGTTTTTTTCTTTTCCTTTATTTAGTTCTTTATTCTCCGAATACCGGAGGTGCTGATTCCGATTGTGTAATATCACATATGGAAAATTACGCCGCACGTATTGCGCAATAACGTTTGCGGTATTTTGCATTGATAATTAATTTTGATGTTCAGTCTGAGATGTGTTCAGAACACTTAATCGAGTTTTACTGTGCTTTTCTAAGCAGAATATTTCTCAGTTCCGTTGGTCTATTTTTATATGATGCACATATTGAAATGTCAAAATCATTTATTTAGCCTAAATTTAAATCTAAAGAACAGCTGCAGTCTCCCCCACTCCTCTTTTTCCAGTTACTATCCGGAATTTCCGAATGCGGTTAGTTAAGCTTTTACTGTTAAAGATGACTGAATGAAGCATTTCCCGTCTTCTGATTTAGAAATGTGCCTCTCTTTTACTTAAATTACTTTGCTTGGAATATATGTTAAGGAAAACTGTTATGCAATGAAAATTTAGAAAATGTTCATAATTTTGATTTTTAAATTATTTAAATATTAATATGAGTGGAAAAAAAATTGTATTTATTATAGGTGCCAAATGAATACAATTAATATGGCTTATTATTATTTATTTCTATATTTTCAACTGAAATATCATCTAAATCTTGTAATATAGTTTAGTTCCGCATAGTTTTTTCTCTCATGTAAACTAATTCTGTAATTGAACTGTTCGAATTTTTTTTAAAAAAAGTTAATTGTTTTCCATTGTTTTGAGGTAATGCTCATTCTCTTAATATATTGCATTGCTCATATTTTAAATTACAAGTCTAATTTTTCTTTTAAGTTATGCAGTTGTGTAATGTAATTAGACAGGTGCTTATTTTTTCCTTAAAATATGCTTGAAAAGTGCTTATAGGTGCTTATTTTTTTAACTAAAATGTGGCTATGAACCCTGTTACATGAGCAAATGATCAGTTTTTCAGTAATAATCATCACATTTAATAATTTCAGTTTCAATTTTTTAACATCTGTAATTCGATCGGGAATTTCAGAACATCTTCCTCTTAACTGCTTACATTTCAAATTTATTTGTTCTAATAGCCCTTTAAACTCTTCATCTGTATCATTTTCTAAAATTTTAATTTCTGTTTTAGAAATTAACCTTCTTGCATTATAACTAATTTCATAACAGTAAACAATAATAATTAAGTAATTAAAGCTTACCTTGTCACAGTGATCTAGGACTGTAATCCAAAGATAATTTTTAATCCAAATACTGCTGCACATCCATTTGAAACTTGTTTTACAGTTGTGTTTTGCTGTTGTTCTTTTGGCTAAACCTAACTGTGTCATTATGGAAGAAATTTTTCAAGGTCTCTTCTTCACCGTCGATTTTGCCTCCTTAGTTCAGCTAACATTTTATGATGATTAACCACTTCAGGCCTACAATTATAAAAATTTAGAGGAATCTTGATTTTTGATTTATTTATATTTCCAAAAATTTTAGACAGAAACATTACTCTAAATATATAAGATTAACCATAATTAATATCAATATAATAATTTTATAGTAGCTAAGTCTAATTTAAAATATTATGCAAAATTTAAATATAAATGAAACAGATAGTTTTTAGCCTTGTTTTGTTGCTTGTTACACATGTGTTTTTAATGCAAGTTGTTTAAGATAGATTTTATTCAGAAAAGTGTGCAGTCGTTAATAAGGACTTGTCGGGACTTCGGCGATTCTGGAGTATTGATTTTTTCGGATTATAGATCATCAGTTTAAATTTGGTAAGATGGCATGCAGAAATTATAACATTAAAAATATGAAACCGTAATTTATGAAATAAAGAACAATTATGATCTAAAGGGTATCAAAATTAAATAATAATAATAATAATAATAATAATAATAAAAAATAAATTATTTTAATATTTTACTTTATTAAACATTTCTTTCAATGTAAGTTGTTTAAGTTGCTTCGTTTTATGTGATAATACTTTCTCTTTAATTCTATTAACAGACATAATTTCTTGTTCAGTTACAAAGTTCCGCTGTTCAAGTCCTATAATTGCTGTGTCGAGAATACCAACTAATTTGTCAATTGAAATTTTTTCGTTTTCAATAACCACTGTGTCAATTTCTTCACTATTGCAAGCAAATTATAATGACGAGGAATTTGTTTTAAATCATATCAAAGACGGAGTACATAGAGATGAAATACTACATTTAGTAAAGAATTATAAGCCGAATAAAATAAAAACATCTGCCTTGAAGATAAGGATAGTGCTGACAGATCAACTTCCAGTTCATTGCTTGCCGTAACATCCCCTCCCCCTGCCACAGAGCAGCGTGAAATTGATAAACAGATTTCGGATTTCAAAACATACTTTTGTTTTGTAGAACCTTTACATATTAGTAAATATATATCGGAAATTCTATTTGACATAATCGAAAGTTCAAGCTTACTTTTATAAAATTGCTCTAACAGTGTGCAAAATATAATAAGCCGGATCCAATTCGAAGATTAAGGAACAACGCAATCTGCAACATTAACTGAAATAGATAGATAATTAGATAATTTTAGCTTATACCATCCATTTTACATTAAACGCGCATGCGTAAACGTATTATGCGCATGAAAGTTTGTAGATTTGAGGTCCAGATTATAGATCATTCCGGATTATGGGTGTCGGAATGAACGACTTTTGACTGTATTTGGTTAAATTAAATTATCTTTGTCGTTTTTGATAAAATAAATATTTATGAAACTTAGTAATCATTTAGAAATGCAATAATTTATATTCGTAGTTAATGTCTGTACTTGTGACACTTCAACTCAGTTCTACATATATATATATTGTTGATTTAAAGATAGTGGAAGTGTGTGTCAGGAAAATATAAAATAAAATAAAAGGACAGAAAGAATGCAGCAAAATAATGCTGAAATGATTCAAGAGAAGAAAACTGAGACCTAAATGGTTTTAAATTTAATTCAAAGTGGATTTTTTCTGGGTATTTGCATATGTATGTATGTATCTTGCATATCTCAACGATTAGCAGTAAAATGTTGAATTTTTGTATATGAGACTGCTATGACATATAGTTATGCACTTCTTTTTTTTATTGCAGTCAATAGAACCAAATATATATATATACACACACACACACATACCTTACCTGGCTTAAAAAGTCTGTACCCCGCCTTTATTTTCACAATCGTTGGCTGTAGTTGTATCCTTTCAGTAACAGAGGTGTTTTAAATGATGAAAATATTCATGTTTTGGCAGTGTCAATTTTTACAAAAAATTCACTTAAAAAAGATAATGAAATTAAAATTTTAATGTGGTCTCCTGATTCCTATATTCCTCATGATATGAAAGTTTTATGCACGTTATGAAAAAATAGCTCCTGTGTAATAAAAATTGACCAGGATATTTAATTTCAAAATTTGCATTTCCATTTGAACCTTTCTCACACTTTTTTCCTTGGGAAATACTTTTTGCACTTCCGGATACTACAGATGAAAACTTTTAATTTAAATATCGGAGTTTTTGAGTGCAAAAATGTTTATTGTGTGTTTTGACATAATAAACTTGTACATTTTGTGTTGTTTGTCTTTCTCTTAGAATTAAAGGCAGTATTATAGGTATTGTAGGATAAGTCTTTAATTTCAAACTTTTGTGAAACCCACCAGCGGCCAAGCGGTAAAGTTACTGAACATTAGTAGTTCAGTCTGAGGCATGAACCTCGCAAATGGGCTGGCTGCATGGGTGTTTTTGTGGTTTTCTCCGTGTGTATATGAGCCAGTTTCCCATAGAAAGTACTCCAATAAAGCATCCCTCTGCTTAGGCAGATAACCTTTGAGGCTTTGCCATAATTTAATAAACCAAACTAATCATTTTTTTAAAAAAAATTTTAAGTCCATTGCCTAGTTAATAATAATTTTATATATGATTCTTTTTATATAATTGTTCATATTTTATATTCATTTTATTGATTAATTTTATATATGGTTATACCTATTTTAAATAGCAGGTTTGTTAAAATATTTTTGGTAGCAATTCAGCCACACTAGCTGAATCTCCATCAGTGTTGCTATCATGGTTAAAATCTCTCTATGTTCAAGATTTGTTGTTTTTGATATCTTTAGTAATAATGTCTCAAATAAAATTTGAATTTTCAGAAATTTGTAATATCAGTACTACTAGAATTTATTTTAGAATCCTGGTAGTTTTATTTATTTTTTTTAGAAATGTTAAACTTTTCTATTGTAGCTGTTTATTTGTATATATCACAAATTTTATTATTATTTCTTGTTAACTTTTCATTTATTTATATTTAATATTAGTATGATTTTTTTTATCTGATCCAAATGGTTTTGTATTTGCAGTTACTGTATTCAATGTATTAAAGTTTTTTTTTTTTTGAAAGTGGGGTATGTGCATGAATTGACAATCGTATTTAAAACGGAAATTGAAATTTGAGATTTTTATTTGTAAAATACCTGAAATGCAATTATCTTCATATTTTGGCATTTTTTTAATAAATGGTTAACTTTTAAGTATAATTTTAAACTTTTTGAAATATGTATTATTCTGTAAGTGTTAGATTATTGATTTTTCAGAATCACTGTTTTGAAAAGTGATTTATATTTTTAAAGAAATTAAAATTATTTAATTTTCAGATGCTTAATGAGCACATTTGTCCTCAACTGGAGAAATTAAAGGCAGAACGCAAAGAATATAATGAGTACACTAAAGCTGTAAGAGAATATGAGCATTTGTCAAAAATATATATTGCATGGGATTATTTAAAAACAGAGGTAAGATTTTCTATAACCTTTGTTTTTTATTAATAGGAGTTTTAATCTACTTCAAATAATTCGGCAGAAATTTTTGTTTACTTAAACTTTTGGTATGAAGATAGAATTTTTTTATTGCTGAGCTTTAAATGGAAGGTTACAAACTATTAATATGTATTATTTAAGAAAATTGATTTATTTTAAATTTTATTTAAAATTAAGTAATTCCAGTTATATAAGGTGTTTTCAAAAGAATACCTGAACTCTGAAACACTACAATAACAAAACTAAAAAAGTTAAACCTTTTTGTAAAAATTAAATCAAGAATAGCATTTTTAAAGTGTATAAAATTATAAATATTCAATGTGGCCTCCACCAAAAAGATGGATTAGATTATGTTAATTGAAGAAATCATCCCTCACTTTTTTCAGCATGTTCTGTGTTACAGTTTGTGTTGCTGCAGTTATTTGTGTTTTACTTTCATTGATGTTTGCATGAATGGTGGAAAAAATACGTTATCTTTTATGTAGCTTTAAGGGAAAAAAATTCCAGGAAGTTAAATCAGAACTTCTTGGAAGTGTCTCATTAAGAGAGAAGTCATCATCTACTCCAAAACCAATCCACCACTGTGGCAATTTTTCATTTAAGTATTCACGAACAGACAAATGCCTAGAGTGGTGATGCTCCATTTTGCTGAAGTTTCCAGCTTCTTTAAACTGTGGAAACCAACGTACCTGAAGCAAATATAAGTAAGTAATGGCAGTAAGAGGATGCTTCAAAAATTTTGTTTTGTGATATAACAAAAAAAAAAAAAAAAGCTTTCGTGAATTGTGTTCCATTTCAGCAGCTGCATGAGGATTAGTCATGTGTGCCATTCAGATGGTATAGTGGTTAGTGATGCTGCACCAATGGGCACAGGTTTGAATTTCAGGAAAGACATGCATGTTTGCAAACATATAGCGTCTATTTGGAAAACGGGCATTCAGAATACATGGTTAGCCAAAAGTCCTCGCAAAAGCTTGATGGTAGGAAAAGAGAATTGCTAGAACCTTGTCCGCTCCTCAGGGTGTTCTCCCTCAAAATTAGGATAGAAGCTTAACATTTAGTAAGACTCGGCGATACCTAATATATCCCTACACGAATGCACAGGTGCCGACCTTCCTTCAACCCTTACGTATCACACATATGTGAGCATGATGTTGGTTGACTTTACTGTTAGTGTGAAACTTCCCTTATTAAATGAAAGCTTAAATATGAAGTAATCATCTATACCGAGATCATCAAGAACAAACTTGCAAAAATCAGTTTTTTGTTCTTTATTTTGGGTTCAGCAGAAATTCGACGGTAAGAAGTTTGTTGAATTTTTTATGCTGAATTTTACTGAATCTTTTTTGCTCAAGAATAGAAAAATTATTTTCATACCAAGGGATTAAATAAAAGAAAATTTCAGCCAAATTACATCTATACCAGCTGTAAATTATGCAGTTTGTAATTATGCAGTCATTTACTTTCTCGAAGCTTTCCATATGGTTGTACAAAGCATTTGCCTTTTCTGTTTCCTGGTCAAGTTAATATTTTTGGACTGTTAGTGAACATATGACAAATCCGTTCCATATTTTCTTCATACATGGCCATCCAGAACTCTTGTTTTTGAAAATGCACCGCTTTTCAGAAAACTGACGAAGCCAACATAAGATTTTTGGGAGGATGAATTGTGTATTTGCAATAAAATGCTCATTGAGCAGTCGTAACCAGACATGTATAGCAAATTCAGTTACACTGAATGCTTTTTGTTGCTTGATTATGATCTCGACTTACTAAATTAACTGCTATGGTTAGAATGATGTGCATGTGTAAGAACATTAACACCACATCTTGCTAACAGAATAGGGCTATTCTTTAACATTAAACTTTGGTGAATTGTGTTACATTTCAGCAGTTGTGGGAGGATTAGCCATGTGGGCTATATAGATGGTATAGTGGTTAGTAACACTGACGGCTGCACCGATGGGCACTGGTTTGAATTTCGAAGAAGACATGGATCTTTGTAAGCATACAGTGTCTGTGTGGTGGGCATTAAAAATGCATTTTGAGCTGAAAACTCAAGCTGAAAACCCTTGTGTTCACATAGGGTATTTTTTAAAATATATTTTTCATTTGAATCAAGTATAGAAATTTCTTAATTTTTCTTATACATGAAAATTTTAGTTTATATGAAAAAAAAATTAACTCAGTTTCAGTTTTTTAAAGGAAGAACATATTTAAATGATCATTTTATATTTATCATCAATGAAATTAATAAGAATCAGCTTCATTACAATATTTAAATTTAGAAATCTTTATTCTAATTTTTGATATTTTGTCTTGTATTCAATTTTAGTTGCTGTAAAAGGAATTGTTTTTAAATATTGAGCTTTATTTAGTAATTAATCATTAATTGATTCTCTATCTGACTATACTGTGATTTAACTTAACTCTGTAGGAATTAGTTAACAAATCTGGAGATGAGAAAAAGGAACTACAAAATAAGTTTGAACAACACAAGCAGTCAATTACTGAAATTAAGAAGAAGCTTGAAGAAGCTGATAAAAAAATTAGTGAAATAGAGATGAAGATGGATGAGGTAATATTAGTTTTAATTTTTGTACTCTGACATATTTTGGTCTGCAAAATAAAAGTAAAGGTGATTCATCTTTATGCTTAACTTTATGGTTTATTTTTATGTTAAACATTTGTCACAGATAGACCACTGAATTCTGAATTCCAGGGGGGATGCACTGTCTTTTGTATTAAAAATATAAGTTTAAATACTTTTCTGTTACAATTTTTTTTGCTAAAATTAGATCATAAAATGCAGACTTTATTGCTGCTACGTTTCAAACCACTGCAGAGTTTCTTTTAGGTATTGGATATACTACTAAGGCCCTGTTTGGTTAACACTTTATAAAATAAATTTTGAACTTTTTTTGGGGGGGGGCTAGGAACTCTGAGGGAATCCTTGCAGATTGCTTAATATTTTATCAGGTAATTTCTTTGTTGCTTGTAAATTATAATTAAAATGATTGAGACTGATTATACAGTATTATTAAAATAAATGATAATTTTATATTTAATAAATACATGTATTATTTCTCCATAAATTCCTATTAGCTAATTAGAGCTGTCATTTAACAAGATAAATGACTGCAGTATAAAAAAATATTAAACATTATTAAGACTTACTCTTCTTGCAAGTTAGTTATGCTTTTTTCTATAGTTACTGAAGTGATATTCTTGACTTTGTTATTAATCATTCATATGTATATCATTTCAAATACACACAAAACCGTCTGCTTTAGATCTGTATAGACTTGCATTCATAATGAATTAGTTACATATACCCATGCTATCTAATTTTTTAAAATTTCTAAATGCTCTCTAATTTCTGATTAAAGATGTCTTCCCATAAGTCAGTGACACTACTGATGACCAGTGTTATCAAAAGTTTATTTTTGTCATTGATTGTAAATATTCTGAAACACATATAACATTGTATAACAAACGTCATTGGACACTTCACATTTTTAGACTTTTTTTTTTTTTTCCAGATTTCTTGAGAAATGCTTGATGAAGTGTTTTATAACTGTGTCCTTGTAAATACTACGCACTTATGCTTTCTACTGAAAATTTAGTTACAGGTGCATTTGCCAACAAAAATAAAATGATTTAGGAAAGAAAGAAAATATTTTTGATCAGCCTGAACAAAAACAGAAAAAAAGTAACTTGTTAATCATGGCTTTTAACTTAACTAATTTTTTCAAGTTTTGGCTTTTAATGAAGCTTAAAATTCATTGAAAGGAAATTCTCATTTTAAATCTAAAGTTTGAGTAATTTTATCTGAAATCCTAATGCTGTACTGTTTGAATTCCATTGAATATTTATGGGGATATTGACTAAGTTAACCTTTTATTCCATGTATCCATAGTAACTACTGAAGCAACAGTAAGGTGATATTACTCAAGCAGCTGAGATGTTAACTCAGAATCCCCATTCAGTGGAATAACAGGCTAACCTGTTATTCCACTGAATATCTATGCTGCTGCTAACTAATTAGGTTTTGAGAGACTAACCCTATTTATAAGACATATTTTGAACAACTTTCCATAAAATATATATTTATGCATGATATCCAAGAACTTCTAAAGGCCCATCCACACAAGTACGCTCGCAACGTAGTTAATGTAACTTTTTTGATGCCGGCGTAAATTCGTGTGACGCAGAAGACGTAAAACTGAGTTCACTCCTGTTCAGCTTTTTCGCCTGTGACGCGTGCGTATAGCCAATAGCCGACCGAGTTCTTATCACGTGTCATAATCAGAAAACCTTCTTGCTTACCCGTTTCAATATGGCGCCAAAACCACACAGAGATGAGTTTTTGCTTAGAAATATCATAACTGTATACAGCAATAAAATAATCAGGATTGTTCACGCCCTCTGCAGATTTCTCAAACCGTATATATTGGTATAAATTTAAAATTCTCATTAAAGGGGAAAACTGTATATTTATAAAGCAATGATCTAACCAGTATATCCATATGCTTCACCTATTTAATAACACCGTAAGTAATAGGAACTTAAATAAATTACAGTTTCTACGATATCAAAGTTTCTGCCTCAAAATTCACCTTAATTATTATAAATATTGGCTTTATCATGTGTAATAAAAGCTCTATAAAATCCCAATATTAAATACACCAAAAACTAACTTCAGCATATAACAACTTCAAAATAAACAGTTGACTGTGAAGAGTATTCGAAAATACAATTACGAAATTTTGGAGGAAAGTTACAACTTGTGTCATACAGCAATCATTTATTGAAGTTTAATTAAATTACCTTTACAGCGACTTATACTTGTTACATTATTTTCTACGAACACTGCTATCACAGATAGCTGAGTGGTCAGTACGCTGCTTTTTAAATGGAAAGGTGGCGAGTTCGAACCTCACCCGTAGATAGTATAGTATATAATTCAGTTAGCTTTTTTCATTTTGAAACGTGTTTCTTATATTTAATCATGAATCATTATATTCTTATATTACCTATTATAATTGTTTTCATTTCTTATTTTATTCATTATTATTATTTTTAATTTAGTTTAAAAAATGTGCATTGCAAATAGAAATCCTTATGTAATAATATATTGCATCTCTTATCAATATCATCTATAACTTCTCTCTTTATTTTTACTTTTTGCTTATTTTATCATGCACATAATTTCGCATAAACTGTCCAAAGTTTGGACCTCATTCTAAATTCGAAAATAAATAAAAAAAAAGACTAAGGGAGGATGTTAAACAAATATGAGTTGGTTTTATATATGGTGGATGGTGTTTTAAGTAATTTAATTCCCATTATATATTGTATTCCAAACCAATTTTATAAATCTTAATTTTCTTACAATATGGAATCTACAAGTCTGTCAAACTGGTTGATACTCATCCTGAAGGGGGGGAAGTCAATGCTTAGTTAGGTCCACAAAAAAAATTAAAAAGTACAAAAAATAAATAAAAATACAAACGGATTTTTAAATTAAAATTAAAAAATTTTAATAAAAAAGCTGTATTAACATCAAGTGTCATTCACTACAAGTTTAAAAAATTGTATTTGAACTTGAGTGGATGAAGAAAATGCATTTTATGATACTGAAAATTTGAACAAGTTATAGGGAGAGTTGCTCTAAATAAATCTTTTGGACCCTTTCTTGCCATTTTTTGCGGTTTTGCCTCTGCTTAATAATTGCACTTAATAGTAAAGTTTCAGCTATAAAAAAAATCATCTGATTCGGACAACTTTCCACAAACATACAGCACAGCGAAGTAATAAGATACAGCTCTGTTGATGCTATATTACAGCGTCACATGATTTTTGCGCAAAATATTTCTATTGGTTAAACGCACTCTTCGCAAGCGTACTCGTTTGGACACTTTTATGCTGGTAACGTAAAAGCACGTTTGTCAGCTACGTTTCGAGCGTACTCGTGTGGACGGGCCTTAAGAAATGCTTGCAAATGTTAAAGTTCTTCATAACAGGTGTTTCTTATAATACATTAACATTTTTTTGCATCTTTATTTTTATTCATATAAGTGACCATCTTAATTCGTATGTATTCTAAAATTGGTTGTGTTCCATACTCTAATTATTTTAATTGGAAATTTATATTTCTAGGATGGAGGGAAAAAACTTCATGCATTAGATGAGGAATTAAAACAGATGCAAGTGGCTGAAACTAAAGCTGATACACAACACAGAAATTTAAAAGATGCTTTAAAGGAAGAAGTGAAGAAGAAAGCCGAGCTAACTAAAAATTTCAAAGATGTAATTTTTCATTTTTATTATTTTCACATTATCATAAAATAATTGTATACTTTTGCAGTCTTATATTTGCTGCAGTTTTCCAAATGAATTTATTTGTAGGTCTCTACTGTTTATTTTACTGTTTTCTCTCTTATTTGGCAATTTTAAATATTGGTCAGTAAGATGAAACTAGAAAATACACACACACAGTTATATGTATGTATGTATGTATGTATGTATAGTATATATATATATATATGGTATAATTCTTCAATTTTGTGGTACACACTTTAATTTCATCTTCACTAACCAGAGAAAATATTTTTCTCTAAAAATCAAGGAAAAATATAAGCTGTAAATGTATGCAATTAATACTTTTATGATAGTAGAATTCTACTTAATTATAACAATGATATCCGCTAATAAATAGGTATATTATTCAGCACTTTGAAAACAATATTGGAATCTTGTCGACTGCTCATATCTGCATTCTTATCAGAGTCAACTATACATATGGAGTCCAATCTTCAGTTCAGTAGGTTGATAATGTAACATTTTTTTTGAATGAACTCTATGTTGTTCCTTAATTAATTTAAGATTAAATTCCAAGCTATTTATATGCATTTTGCTAGTTTTTAATTCCAGCACTTTATTTTTCCTGTAGATATTATTGAAGATTGTGAGTCAAAAGTAAATATTCATATTCTTTTCTCTAATAATCAAAATGTGTTGAGTGAGTACAATTGATTAGTCATGCCATAAGAAATCACAGTTGCAGTATGTTTACATGATTTTTTTGACCTTTTCAAGTAAATGCTCACAGAATGCATTAATTACAAGCATGTTGGTAGGTTAAAATTTTCATTACATCTATTCCAACCGACATTTAATCCATCTTCCATAGGTTCTGCCAAAATCTACTTATTTATTTCTTTGCTTAATATTGTCATCCTTAGAGAATTTTTTCTTCTGGTTTTTGATTTGGGCAGGGTACTGAATTTCAACTGTCTAAATCAGGAATGGGCAAAAGCTGGTCTGTGAGCCAAATGCATCTCTCCTAATTGCTTAATCTGGCTCGTTATGAAATCCCATGTAACAACATTTTCATCTCTTTTCTACCCAATTTTGTGCAATTACCAAAAACAGAAGCATGACTGTGAATGTATTGCTATAGTGTATATATGCATAAATACGCATGACAATATTAGCGATCAACTTCAGCTGAGAACATTAGATGTGTTATTGCTTTAGCACTTTCAACATCGATAGTGTGATGTATACACGCATGGAAATAAACCATGTTTCATCAATATTTCCATTTTGACTAAAATCATACAATCATGCCTTCCAGGTGTTGTTTTTTTTAATTGCAGCAGCTGTGCCCAAGAATCATGTTGGAAAATATCTTAAGTTATAAATCTTGAAGTCATGATGTTTGAGAAATATTCATATATTCATGGAATGATGTTTACTTATCTGACAAATTCTAATTTTTCAATCTAAAATTTGTTCTTTTCCCCTTTCCCATCCAAGCTGGTGCAAATGAGCTGCAACCTGTTGATGTGAGAATAACTTGTTTATTTAATATGAAATAGCAGAAAAATGCTAAAAAATCTGGAACCAAAATCTTGACATTTATGCTAAATAGTTTTTATGTGATGAGTTTTGACCAAGATTGCTGGAATGAAGTGACATGTAACATAGTCTATAATTATTTTAGATGGTAAGAAGTTTGTTACTAGGTGCAACTGAATGAAATCAGATCTACCCATTATCTTACAAAATTACAAAGAATTTTACCTGTTGAAAGATGAAAGTAAATTTCTACCAATTTGAAAGGAAATTTCTTTCTAAAAGTCTTTTTTGATGCCAACAATATATCTGCTGCTACAAGGTTTTATTATGACAACGATGGGTTATTTTTGACAGACTTGGTAATGTAAGAGTAGAAATTTTATAGCAGAAATATATTATTTATTACTATGGAACTTGAAAAATATCTTTGTGAGATTTTTTTTTTTTTTTTTTTTTTTCTTTTTTTTTCCTCCCAAACGTAATACATTTAATCAGGTAAACTGTTATCATATATTCAGTTTTTTAGGATTAATTCCTTAAGTTGTTTATCTGTTTATTTTTAAAAAAATTCAAATTTTAAACTGGAACATAAATATAAAGATAAAATTACAGGGTAATCATGTAGTATGTAGTTTACAACTGTTAGTTATTTTTTTAGATGGCAGCACTAAAACTGATTCTTGTTTTAATAATTTTGTTTCCCATCCTTTTATTCCACTTTTTAATTTTAAAATAGTGTTTTAATAGCACTATCTAAAAGACAACTGAATGAAAGTGGTAGATCGCATATTACATTACTTATTTCAGCTTTTAAAGTTTTTAAATTAATTTTTTTAATTAATATGTTTTTTAATGGTAAACTCTTTTTTTAAGGTGTTAGATTGTCATCTAAAATCTTCAGATTGCATTTATCGATCATCTGTTGTTTCATATTCTTATTTACTTAAAGTGGAATTTAACTGTTAAAGATCAAAATGCTGTTTTTAAAGACTTTTAAAAACAATTTTAATAGCAAATTCTTATTCAAGGTATTAGACTGTAATCCAAAGTCAGATTACAATTTTTAATTAGATAATTAATTTATCTATTATCTGTTGTTACATCCTCTTATATATTTCTAATAAGAAAATTGCAGTAATAAAGTTGCTTAATTTCATTTTTGACCTTTATACTTTGTAATAGTGTTTGATCTGTAATAGAAGCCTGCATATGTTTAAAAATATTTTTTTATAAATTAGTATTGGTTAGTTAATAAATAAATGTAGCTAGCATAATGTGAAGCTCCCTCCCTTAGCAAAATACTTTTAGAGACGTGGAAGCTAAGGGATTAAATAAAATATGTATAGGAATGAAGTTAGCTAACTATGCAAAAGAATTTCCAATAACTAGGGCAAATGGGGAATTATCTAAGATCAACTTACAGATATTCAACTGTAGGTTTAAGGGAGTGATTGATGGTGGAGCAGAAGTTACGGTAATCCAAAAATTGGTAGTTCCAAAGAAATATTTGGAGTCTGGAGGGAAAATATGGTTACATCCCGCCGTAGAACCCGTGGTAGAAGCCCAATTAGTTACAGTACCTATAAGTATCTGGTCAGGAGAAGAGGATTTGCAGCCTTATGTATATGTTCAAGAGGCACTAGTGACACCTCAAGATTTTAGACTCCTCAGGAAACAAAGGAATATTTACTGGGGAGAAAATAAGGAAGAAAAACTAGTATTGGGAGTTGATGAGGTATCGAGAAACTTGGACGTAGAACCGACAGATCTGTAAAAAACCAGTCCTGAGATTGAAAGTGAGGCACAAATAGCTCGAACTACGCTGTTGACAAGGAGTAAAGTTGAGGAGGAAGTAGAATTCAGGAGGCAGTGAGCAAGTGCCAGATGATAGCCAACCTCTATCACAAACCCAACCTTTTAGACAGGAGTAAGCAGAATATGGTTTGAGAAGCGCATTTATGGATGCACATAACAACAAGAATGGGTATTGGCTAGAGTTGGGAATTTTGTACCATATGGGAAGTTACAATGGGCAGCATTGTAGTCAATTAGTTATTCCCCGATGAGGTGGGGGAAAAAAAAATTGAGGTTGGCTCATAAAAGCTTACAAGGGGGGCACTTCACAGCAAAGAAGACAACGGAAAGGATTAAAATGTCATTTTGTTGGGAAAGATTGTCGAAAGACGTTCGAAAGTGGTGCGAAGCTTTCAAGGAATGCCAGCTACGAAGGAAAAATAATGTGAAGAATAGGGCTCCAATTACAGCAATAGAGAGGCTGTAATTCCTTTCGAAGTGGTAAATGCAGACATTTACGGCCAATTGAGCCGAAATTCTTATGAGGGCACCAGTATGTGTTTATGTGTAGTCAATCAACATAGCAGATGGCCGGAGGCAGTTCCACTAAAAGTGGTGACAGCAAAGGCTACCTGTCACACTTTCGCTGAGATTTTCATGCAAACAAGAGTTTCAAGAATGATCGTCATGGGTAATGGAATGAACTTTAAGGCTAAACTAACACAAGAGTTTTTGAGCTGATTAGAGGCCTCGCCAAAATTTTCTATGCCAGGTTGTCCACTGTCAAACGAGTTAATAGAAAGGTGGATTGGAACAATGAAATCAATGTTGCATGATGCAATAAATATGCAAGAACGAAACTGGAAGGAGCACTTATAATATTTATTATGCTGTTATAGGGAGATACTGAATTCAACTACCGGAGTCTCATCATATTTGTTAATGTATGGTCATGTACCAGTTGGACCACTAGCGAAACTTAAATCAAGTTGGGTAGATGAGCCGATGTTACCACAAGGAGTTGGGAAATCCATTACTGAATGTTTAGTTTCACTTAGAAATAGGTTACAGGAGGCAGAGAAATTCGCTAAAGAAAATTCGGAAACTAAGCAACAGAAATATGTTCATCATCATAATTTGAGACTTAGAGAAAAAGAATTTGAGATAGGAGATGAGGTATTAGTATTAATACCGACATCAACAAACAAACTTGGAATGGATAGGACCAGGAGAAATAGTTGAGAAATAGTCTCCACATTCATATTTGGTGAAATTACCAGATGAATCGGTTAGACATTTGCATCAAAATAAGTTGCGGAAGTACATACAACCCATAAATGCAGTACAAATAGTTTATGAAGCTGACACAATTCAGAGAGGTGCAGCTTGCGACTATTCAACGAAAGCCGAAAGTAGAAAAGCTGTTAACTAGGACAGGTATTTCAGTTGAATGGAAATATTTAGATAAGGCACAGAAAGATCAGTTGAGCAGATTGATCAAATCTTTCTATGTTGTGTTTGATGGGGAAATTAAATGTGCTAATTTAGTAAAGTATCCCTTAACATCAGGTTAAAGTTTCATTTATGACATAATTGTTTATTCATCAATGAGGGAAGAACATCTTACATTTAAAAGCTGTACCGAGTACTTT